CTCTCTCTCTCTCTCTCTCTCTCTCTCTCTCTCTCTCTCTCTCTCTCTCTCTCTCTCTCTCTCTCTCTCTCTCTCTCTCTCTCTCTCTCTCTCTTTCTCTCTCTTTCTCTCTCTCTCATTCTCTCGTTCGTTCGCACATCGGTATTATCGATCTGTATTTATTTTTTTTAGTTTTTCTTTATTTTTGTTCTCGTTTCATTTATTAAATGTTAGGTAGAGCCTATAAGGGACGCCCAAAGGCGCTCTCACAGCAAACTTCGGGCGCGCTTTTCTCGTATACTAGCTGTGCCGGAACGCACTTGTACTGGTCGCACAATCGGCGAAGTATTCGGCTAAAGATAGCGTAACCGTTGAGATTGCAAGATTTTGGACGATTATCATGATTGATTGCTTATGGCCGTTTAAATAGCTATTAATGTTTATACAATCGCCAATTAATTTGAAATTATCTGGAATTATATGCGATTGATATATAAAATTGATTATATTACTTTATGTTGTTTGCACACAAAAGTTAAATAGCAAAAATAGGTATTTTAATTAATCAATTTTTGCAATATTTCGTTATCAATATAGCATGAAAATTGTACGACTTTGAGGCTGAAAATTTACTGTACATGAACGTTAATGAGTACTTTAATAGCTCGTACTGTACCGCGAAATATGTAACACTTGATCACGAAGATGATTATGAAGAATACAAAAATGTGGAAAAAATTGCATTCGGCAGCCGATCTTTAGCCGAGCGATTCGCTCGCGACATATTATTTAACAACAGAGTTTAACCACCTAATCGTTTGGAGGATACTCGTTTCGCCTTTCATCTTCGCCTCAATTTTGTTTATACAATGAATGGGATATCCTTTTTTGCCTCATTTACCTACGTGCTAGGTAATAAATCAGTGCAATTCATTACAGTAACTAATCGAGGTACGCAAAAAAGTCAATCATGTCTTCGACCAAAGGTGTGAACATTTTAAGAAAAAAGAAAAGTACGTCTACAAATTGACGTAATAAACTTTAATAACCCATAGCAGCGTTACTTGTCATTGTCATAATGATACAATTAGACTGCGATTATCACAATGCGAGAACCGCCAATAATAATAGTCATAATGATAATATCAATAATAATAATAATATTAATAATAATAATAATGGCAATAATAATAATAAACCAATAACTAATAATAATATAATCTTCGTCATACTAATTACCATCGTTATTACAATTATGCACTTAGCCGTTATGGTTGCCTATATACTATCCTCTTTTATATATACTTTTATATATATATATAGCTACAATATATAATATTTTCGTGTTGAAAAATCGTATACATTAGTGTTGTGTCGCAAGACCATTGCTTCTGTCTCTCTCTCTTTCTCTCTCTCTCTCTTGTTCATTCTCGCACCTTCTTTTCTCTCAATGCGTCTGCTATATATCATTCCGTTTTGCTATATATCTTTTTTGCTCTCTTGATGTATCGCTGAGAGGGGAAAGGGGAAAACATAATCGTCGATGGCTGGAAGCATTCGTGTCGGTAAGAGTTTTCGATTCAAATTCGAAGTGCGTTACACGTTGGAGAAAATTGCATTGGAGAACATCGCTGTGCGATGAATTGTCTCTTTCGCAAGTCATTTTAACAACATTCCACGTGTTGATTTTAGAATACAACTTTTTGCCGCGAAACGTTTACAAACACCAAAATATTAATGCTATCGACAAGATACGCTTTGTCCGACTATATTTTTAAAATCCAATGAGAAGAGATTCACTTTGATTCCAATCTTGAATCCAATCGACATCAATGTGATCAATTTATACAACAAGATAAATTAAAAGAAACAAACGCGTCGCGCACGAATGAACTCAGGAAGTTCGTGCTCGATAATCTTTGTCAAAGACTTCATAATTTGGGCGAAATAATACTCGAGAGGCGCTGGATGGATGAATTCTACCCGATTGGCGAGAACATGAGTGCTTCCAGACACGAGCGCGTTACCTTAATAGCTTAATATCGATTTTTAGTTCGTATTACTCGCCGTTCAAAGGCGAGCCTCGGATCACAGATAGTGAGGTGATCGGATTGCGCGAGCGTTATCGCGATAACAAATGCGGCCTTTATCGTATTCTTTTCTGTTTTGTTCTCTCCTTGCGTTCATTCTTTCATTCTCTCTTTTACTCGTTCTCTCTCTCTCTCTCTCTCTCTCTCTCTCTCTCGACAAGTTTGTCAGTATGCGTTCTTCCTGCGTTTCTCCTAAGGATTTCAAGGTGACAGCTCCTGAAAGCAAACAGCATCCGACCGTGTACGCACGCGAATCCACAGTGGCAAAATCATCATCACAGTGAAAACATCGTCCGAGAAGATTTGCAAGAGGAACCGTCATCGAAATATTCGCAACGATTCCGATCTGATCGTATAACACGCGAAACAACGTCACACGTTTCCACGGTGAGCGGACTATTTTGTTTAAATATAATACAAGAGAGTGTTGTCTTGATTTGTTGAGAAACATTTTCGAGCGACTGTGTACACGCGCGCGTGTCCGGTGAGAGAATATCTTTTTTTTTCTTTTCGAAACGCAATCCTCATGTCCTCTGCTCGGTTCGTTATAACAAGAGATCTCTTTTTCACCACATAAAGTGGCGTGCGAGTTATACAGATACGAAAGTATAGATATATATATAATATATATATTTTTATACACATGTATACGTATACACAATACATATGTACCTACGTACGTACGACCAACTAAGGGTAGACAGGCGCAATCATGTATTTCGTGGGTCATGTATATGATGTGTATCGGGTGATGAAATAAACAAAAATGGAAAAAAAGAGTCGTGGTGAACAAATTTTAATAAGATTTCGTGCTCGATAGCATAATTACAAGGGGGGGGGGCAAGAGGAGAGACAGAAAGTGATTTGTGTTTCCGAATTCGGCCGCGGGTACAATCATGCATATCAACTTTCTAACACATCATGTCCTTGGATAATTTTCTACAATGGGGAAATTAAAATCTGAGCGATTAAAAGTGGGCCAACAGGTTCAACTTAGCAGATGAAATCAACTTTTCTACAATAGCGTTATTTTAAATACGCTGGACAAATACACAAATACAAAATATGCAATTATTGCACATTTAAAGTGGATTTTAATTTTTATTAGCAAATCATTACAAATCTATTTACAATTGAAGTAAAACATTGATTTTTATTTTTCTAATCAGTTTGAACCTTTTGGTGCGACGTATTAAATTATTATTGTATAAAATTTCGAACCTAAATAACTTATAAAACTAAAGAATCTGAGGATACTTGAAGTGTAATTGAACATAGGGAGACATTCGTCAGCATTACATAAAAAGGGTTAACATATCGAATAACAAGGCAAGAACATAAATTCGCATTGTAGAGAATTCGCATGGGGAGAAGAGTCGTGTGTATGTGTGTGTGTGTGTATGTGTGTAATTTCGAAAAATGGAGGAAGACGAATCCTCACAGATTCCGCCATCACAGTGTTTTCAAAACGCAAAGAAAGTTTTAGAGACTTATCTTAAAGATAATATTTTAAAAAATTACAATAATATTGTGAAAAAAGTAACACAAAATTGTCAATTTTCAATACGTGTTCCTTTTAAAGATACATAAAATTTCAAAAATAATATATCTATTTTATTATATAATAAATATAGATATATTATTTTAATAATAATAAATAATAATAATAAATTAATATATTTATTTTTCTTTTTTATATAAAAATTAAAGTTTTTTAAAAAATGTTTTTAAAATTGAAAAAACTTTAATTTTATAAAAAAATTAAATACATTAATAATTATATTATATATATATATATATATAATACATAAATCATTTTATAAAATAAAAAAATATATTCCTGATAAGATCAATAGCATATAATCTCTGATTATATATAAAAATTTGGCTTTGTTCAGTTTTTGAGAAGTTTGGAAAACATGTGCTTGTCAATTTGTGACAGATAAATGTGTGACTGATTTTTATACGCTTTCTCCCTAAGCTAGACGCACGCGTGCACGTCAACCTATTGTCTTCAGAGAAACAAACTTCCGCCATAAGGAGAGCACACTGACCTACCTATACTTTCGTCTTTTCCGTTCATCTTGCTCATCCGCTTTGCGCAGTTTCTCGCTAAAATTACTCGGTAAGGCAAAACCGGATATCAAGGATACGTGAAGGGGACACAATTTTATCGTCCTGCGACTGATTCTTCGCATCGATCTTGCTCACGTATACATTTGTTAATAATAAACAGTAATTAGACAAATAGTTATATCGTTATTTTTAATTCTAGATTTGTCGTCCACCTCTCTTTTACAACGGATTATTACTTGGACGGCCTATGTATCCTTTTACACGTATCCTTTTTCTTGTGATACAACCAAATGAGAAATAAGTTGCTTCAAAATAAACGCTACTTTTCTGGGATACTCACAAACTAATTTGTGGCATTGTGATGTGTTTTATTGTGTGTATGTGTGTTATTTCGATGTGTGATTCTCGTTTCTCGCTCGCTCGCTCCAGCTCGCTCTTCTCTACACGCATCGTTCGCACAAATTTTTCTTGCCTAATGTCGCGCGCGCGTGCTTTTTATATTTCGAAAGAAAGGCAGAAGAAAAATAAATGTAAGTCTTAAACACGCGGTCGCTTTTCGTTTTCTCGGTCAGAATCGGAATCCGCTGAATCGTGGAGGGGCGGAAAATCGGGCACCGCTTCGCGTTGATGCATCCATCCTGCCGCGCCTGGCCCCCCAGCCAATGCCTTGCCCTGCGTCATGTTTTTCGATTGTTTGTTTTTTGTTTTGAAATTGATTTTTATCCCTCTGTCTTTATCCCCTGCAGGATGGCGACAAAATAGCGTGTCATTGGTCGCTAAGCCTCGCCTCGACCCGGTAAAAGAAAATTTACTTTGTCACGCTTCGCGCAAAGAGAACGTTGAGTTTACCCGCACAGCAGGTATGCCAAACCTTCTCCAAGCTCGGAACGTTGCATTGACTGTGTAACGTGAAAACGAGAAATAGAAAGTGTCTCGAGTCTTGAACGCATACTCAACCGTGTAAGACTTTGTATTTCAATTTATTTTTCGATTTCAATTGAAAGCGAAATTCGACACATTTTCCCCTTTTTTTTCGTACATTACTTGTGATATCATTTCTCGTTATTCACATTCGAAAGGATTTGATTATTTATTCTCGATTTTATCTATAAAACTCGCTATTTAGATATTATTTTATTTAATATCTCTGCGATTACTTAGATATTATTTTATCGTAGATAATCAAATAAATGAAAAAGTGTCCTTTCGATTTCACCAATGCAACGCACTGGCGTCTAGTCTACTGTCTACGCGAAATTTTGAACTTTGCAAAACGAGCTACAATGAAATTTTGATCATTCACTCTCTTCTCTCACTCTCTTTCTCTCCATCTTTCGTGATCCTTCGCTTAACCATTCAAATATCCCAAACAATCATCTCTCAAGTCAAACATCAACAGATAAAGACACACACACGCACTACTTTATCAAACCAGTACACACGTGGGCCTCTGAAAATAGTATTATTCAAAATTTTTAATGTTTTAATTAAATTATTCGCCACGAATTGTAAACATTTTTGTACGAATTGTCGTTTGCGATCTGTCAGAAGGCATACTTATATATCATCTAAAAAAATTTTTACATTTTTCGTTTCGGAGGCTCTCATGTTTGAAATTCTACATGCAGTCATGCATGTCACGAAAAGTATCTATCCTCCTAATTCTCTCCAACTTTTCCAATTATAGAATACACACTAACGCTGCTCTCTTTCTATCAACTTATACGTATATATATTATATGTATGAAGTGTGTGTGTGTGTAAAAATTGTGTATGGGAAGAGTTGTTTTTAAGTCCCTCTAAGACTGAAGTATCGAAAGCCATGTAAAGAGCGACGTGAAATCGCGCGAATGCGTAGGGTGCGTGTCAAATAACTAATTTATGTACGAAACGGAAGATTCGTATAGCTTTGTTAGCGATTTCCATTGTTTCAGACGTGAGAAATAAAAATAGCACAGATGCTACCCGTACGAGTAATTTCAAGACCCTGTTCGAATTCTCAATTCGACTAAAATAATTGGTTGTTACAAGCAATGGTTCGCGCTCCTTAGCGCTCTGAAACACACTCGTATGATTGATTAATTATAGAATTAACTTATTGCTTGCTGCCACCAACTTTTATTATCTACGTAATAAACAACCTATCTAACGTTTCTTTTTCTTCCCTCCCTCTCTTTCTCTCTACAATCTAAAAAAAAGTCCCAATATCAAAATTTTATTGCACACTTAACGAGATCTAATCCTAAAGGAAGAGCACAAAGGCGAGAACGTCTTCTTGGAGGGAATAATAGCCGCATAGGCGAAGAGTCCTCCGCTTTTTTTTCAGTATATATCGTCAATACACAAAATTCGATAGAGAATCTGAAAGATTCGAAAGCTTGATTCGCGTGAGACGAATGTAAATATGCAATCTCTTCATGACGTAATCGTTATCATGAATCGCGTTCCTCTACGGTCACTGCAAGTCTTCTATTTCTTCCAGTGTAGATGTATTCTTCAAGGTGTAAACCGGTATAAGTTGTAGTAAAAGAAATTACTCTCGAACGAAATTTTTTGCCGATACTTTCCGCAAAAGTGAAACTGCCGCGAGTTTTCTCGCGTTATCCAAAAATTATTCTCGACATTTCCTACCATTTCTACGAATTTCGATTTATCGCTTCCACATTTTTTAAAGTGCGTCGCGATTCAGAGCACACGGCGGGTCTTTCCCCTCAATGCAACTTGGTTCAAAAATAAATTCTACTCCTCGGAACTTACGAGTGGAGATCTTTCTCTGCAGTAACGCGACAGTCTCGCGTCAAATATAATTTTTTATACGTTCTCGAAACACGTAGCGGAACACGATACGCGCGTCTGCCTGTGTACGTAATATATTGCACTATCGATGAGTTAGACGACAACCGAACTAGCACACCCCGAATTATCCTAACAACCCGTCTCGTATTCATAGAGTCTCTCGCAAAATTCGCGAAATTTCATTATTCGAGAAATTTTCTCTCTCTCTCTCTCTCTCTCTCTCTCTCTCTCTTTGAGAAAACTTTGATAGGAAAAGATCTGCGCTGGTTGCAACGATGTCCTGACCAGTCCTCGTCAACTTCTAATCCCGAGTCTCATCTCCCTCGTTTTCTCGCTCGCGCTCTTTCTTTCTTTCTACCTCTCTAGCTCTCTCTATGTTTCTTTCATTCTCTCTCTTATTTCGTGTCGAGGTTGCGGTGAGTTTTGCTAGGTACGATTGCGAGCGTTTAGGCCGGCCTGACGTATCACTGGAAACACAATAAAAAGCACGAGAGGCCGAGATCAGTGCACTAGTCCCGATTTTCACGTTCAACTTTTCCCGGCTGCGTGACCTCATTCTCTCTCCCTTTCTCTCCCTCATTCGCGTTCATCCCTCCATCTTTCTGTATCTCGCGCGATTCACACTTTCCTCCCTTTCCCTCTTAGTTCTGACTGCGTGTCTTTTGCGTGGCTGTCTGATCCGGTGTCTCTCTCTCACTCTCTGTCGCCTTCTAAGAATTTCGTTTCATCTGCATCAAGAAAAAACGTTATTGAGTCGATCTCAAGTCGGATTGGCGTTTTTTAGCATCTCACGTCAGATCAGAATTTAAGTCCTAAGAATTGTTACCGGAATTGCTCTGATTGCGATCTTCTATATTTTCAAAGTTAAATCTGATTTGTGGCTGGTTAAAAATTCGTTTAGATTTGCGTAACGTAATCTTTTTATCGATCGATAAGAAGAGAGTGCGCATCGTTCGGAATTGTTTCGGGTGCGAACCATACGTGATTTCGCAGCTCCCGAGGTGGATCGTCAAGGTGATGGAGAGTAGAAGAGACGGCGCAGCAGACGACCGATGTATCGTGATAGTAACACAGGTAGGCATAGGTAGGCAACGTTTATGTCAGAACTGTGCTTGCGACAATGCGCCGTCTTTCTTCTCAAAATGTCATTTCTTTAGGTTCTTCTAATACGACGTCGGAAAGTGCGCGCAGCAAAAATGCAATCCGGAAGCAGCTGGATTAGAAAAATAAAGCTTTCTTCGACACAATTCATCACAAGCTTTGTGTTTCGATCTGCGTTGCAACAAACACAGTTCCGCGTTCCTTATCATTATTGTTATTTTGTTAGATTCCACGTACCAACCAACAGCTGATTAAAGAACGAGATTAAAAGAAGGAACGGAGGACGAAGACGAAAACGAGGCGGTGATAAGATATTAATAATTATGGAATAATAGTGAATTATTACTTGAACCGGTGCAAAATGTTAAAAGTCAGTCGGCCGGCGTGTGAAAAGAGGCTCATTGTGCTTATGTAAGAGTGTATAAGCGATTGCTCATTTGTTACGTTGCGATTAGTGCCAGCGTTAGTGCCAGCTGCAGCAGAGAGGATTTGTCATCGTTGCAAACTTTGCTATTAAACTCGATTATACGTATACGATGATACGTAATGTCGAAAAGAAACAACCGGACAAATTGGAATTGTTACTTGCGAGTGGAATTTGTTGATGCTAAGCTTCATTGCTTTTTCAAAAATATAAATTTGGATTGAACAAATTGCAAAATAATAGTATACGAATTGTACCCCTAAAAAACACGTTCAAGAAACAAAATAAATAAAAATGTTGTATGTTATTTTTTTTCTCTTTGTTAAAAAAAAAAAACTTAAGATGGCTGGACGAAGAGATTATATTTTACAACATACGTGAGTTTGTTGTGAAACTATTGAGAAACTCAATTTGTTGCATCGTAAATTTGTTTCTTTTCGAATCGGATTGAAGAAGCACCGATCGAACGATAAAACTGATGGAATTTAACGCTAGCAAGAAAATACGGAAGAAGGCGGGCTCCGTTTCAGATCAATAAAGAAGAAAATACTCCTTTAGATGGTTCGGAGAACCATACTGAAGCCGGAAAAGACTGCGGAATAGCACGGCTACGGGCATGCATTTTAGTCGCTTCATTTCAACCCTTGTAGAGCGGCACTCCGGCCTGTGCGAACTTTTAGGATAGACAAAACAAAGCATAAAATTAATTTCTTTCTCGGGCCATCTTAACAGATTTCGATGTCGAATTTCAAGTATCTTCCACGAAAAATTTGTCAACGCGAGAAAATGGAGAAAATATTGTTGCGATTGATTATCGAAATCTTGCAAATAGTAATTTTGTTGACAATTTCGCATATCAAAAGTATCTGAATCGAACAAGTTTCCCAACAAATAATTTATTGGACGAATGTAGTGATTTTTTTATTCGATGGTAAAATTGTAGTCGGAGCGCAACATCGACAAGTGATCAACGTATCGACATGTCAGATATTGGATCCATCGGTTAGAAATTCCTACAGGAATCCTCTGCCAAGCTTACCGAATACTCCCGCTCGCTGTGTTTACCCGCAAATTTAATTTAACGTCACTCCGTGCCACGTGACATCGTTGAAATTGTATGTCAACGAGATTTACTGCGTTCGAAGAATGAAGTGCAACACAAGACGATACATGTATCCTCATGTGAGTCGACGTCAAAGCGGAAATTAACGTACATACACTAATTCGGCAATTGCGATAAAATGTTTTCCGCCAAAAAAAGTTGAAAAATTTAATAAATAAAAACGTCTTTAACATTTTAAACGGATTGAGAGAAAGAATTGCACGATAAATTGTGAAAACCAATTCAGACTATAAATATTTTTCAGAAAATTCACAAAGTTGAAGAAGAGCCAAGAAAGATCATTTGCAAAATGATTTGTACAAAAAGAATCGACATCGCTTATTCGAAGAAAAGAAAATTGAAACGGATTTGATCGAAGATTGATATTCGAAGGAACATTTTATCGGGTACGACACATCGAACAAGCCTTGCAAATTATCCCTCGTCTAAATTCCCTTCATTGCATCGCAGGAATGCTAGCGTCTCGTTAGGAGCAACGGCGTGCATCCACTAGCTCCATTAATATGTGAGAAAGGCAGGGTTCCCTAAAAAGTGACTTAGCAACTCCAATGCATACTAAGCAAACCTGGCGCTATTGGCTGCTAGGCTGTGTGGGTGAACATGTGTATTTGTATATGTATCTGTGCAGTCCCTTGCACCCTTATACACACCCGTCGCACCGCGACTATCGGCGCCCTCGAGTCCATCTTTACGGGCTAGCAACAGTGTATTCAGTTAGTATGTATCCCCAGCAACGCACGCACACATCTAATCGAACGCATTCGCGCGATTGCACGCACACACGTATGCAGGGTAAAAGGGTTTATGCATATCAATGCACTGGTTTACGTATTTCCATTTTTTCAGATAAATTAATTCTCTCGAATATTATTCAACCACAAAAATATTACGTTAACAGAATCCCGAGAAATCTAAAAAAATTATGAAAATTCGAGAAAATCGGCAAGTTAAGAGTAATGAAGAAAGAAGGATTCAATTAAAACGCGTAACATTCTCGAATCAAAAACACTACTCTGATCCATAACGTATTCTACGCATATACGGCTTGTTTTATGTAGGATTCTTTGTACATGGTATCGCGCACCTTCCAGAAGCTCAAGCAGACTTTTTCATCAATATCCTATCCCGTTTCTCTCTGTTCTTCTCTCGCCATACCGTCCTAACTTTCTCTCTTTTCTTTCTCTCCCTCTTTCTTTCGTAGTGAGTGTGAGTATGCGGGAGATGAGATGCGCATGCATTCATTGGAACGCAATGCTGCGGCTTGGAACTGCATAGAAATGATTACGCAACGACTTTGATAATAACTTTATGCATTCGCGTGTTTTCCGCAGAACAAAAAAAGAGATGAATATTCAAGGAATAAAAATTTACAATTAATAGCATTAAAAAATTTACATTATCGAACAATGTATGTTGAAAGAGTTCCAGATATCGTGACAAAACATCATGGTATCATTGCCATCATATTTAAAAGATTCGTCAAAAGATAATTTAAATTTATATAAAACGCTTTATACTGTAATAATATTTCGGCGATTATCTTCTTTTTATGTATACCGTTCTAAATATAGATCTTTTGAATAAATAAAGTCATATTTTTAGAGATACGCGTATAACAAACATTTTTTACTTATTATCACAGATTTCCGAGCCACAGCGTATTTGTCTAACTACGTGATTCTACGACAAGCGCATGCTTTAGTGAATGCGGATTCTAGAAAGCGAGCAATGTCAACTACCCCAGAATTGGCTAACGAGAAGAGGCTGTGTAAATAAAAAGTGTTGTAAAGGAATGGGCTATACCTGGTGCATGGGGTCGTATCCCATGGAACCGTCGTTGTATGGCTGCGAGCCGTAATCGCTGCCGTTTATTCCCATGCTATATCCAGCCATGTCCTGTGGTCCTCCTGGAGGCGCCGGTGACATCATTGGCGTCGGGGTGCCCTGGCTGGCACCGCCCATGCTATACGGCGACGCTCCTGCAAAAGCTGCTGTAGAAACAATCGCGGTGCATACAAGATTCAAGGGTGCGTGCTCTTTTAGATTCTTTTTAAGCCATAGCGACAATTTTTCGTCTTTCTGTGCCTCGTAACGCTTACAATGAATTTTATTATAAACTATGTCCATGTATAAAAGATCTAATCAATTATCGCAGAGATACACTAAAGCTATGACGTCGTAACATGTCCGTGCAAATTGGACTTGGATAATTCATTATTTCTTTTATATATAAACAAGTTAATCATTTCGGTTAAAAGTAACATTTCTTTCTCGCCGGAAATCCTATCTTTCTCGTAATTTGCTCCAGATTGTATAAACGTTCCAATTTCTAAAGCCGAGTATCATATAAAACCTTCGCGCCATTCGAAACGAGCGTTGTTTCGCAGGGTTGAAAGTAGCGAGGCCATTAGAATTTCATTTCTTTAATTACAAGAGGACCATGAGCTGTTTCAGCTATGAACGTGGTCGAGGAAAGACAAATGCAGAAAGTGCTAAAAGAAATGCGAGAAACTCGGAATCTCCATCGTATCCCCGTTCTATCTACTCTTTCTCTCTCGCCTTCTAGCTCGCGTTCTTCGTTCATTTTCTTTCCCTTTCTCTTTCTCCCTTTCTCTGTCATATAATTAGTGAGTTATAAATATCTCATACCAACGACCAAAATAAAGCGAGACACGTCGGCAGTTAAACGAAGCGCGCGTAATTGTAACCAGGGTGGAATTTGCAAACCCGTGAAATTTTAGGATAAATCGGGAAATTTTTTGTGAAAGTTTCACAAGGACAAAGAAGATCGTGTCTGAGACTGAAGATAGAAGATCTAAACAACTAGCAAACGAGCACGTGAAACAAGTGTATCTATCAGAATATAACGAGAAAATTGGATATTATTTCATCAATATCACACTTTGCCTGCTGTCTATATTTACAAAAATTTAAATTTTTGAAAAGATACATAAGGACACGTGCATCAACCTTTTATTCCAATTATTGTGATACTATTGCGATTCAGAGTAATCACTTTCTTAATTAGATGCTGACTCTCGAGGTTTATTTTCGAAAATATTTTACCCGAGTATTATGCGTCAAAGAACACAATCAGTGTCGCTAAACTTATATTCTCTCTCGATAATTTATCGACAACCGCAATAATAATGGTGCGCTGAACAATGAGCAGTAACTCAGCCGTTTAATGATTTACAGTAATGAGATTTCCTCCACCCTGATTCCAAGTTTATGCGTTAAAAAGATAATGAGGACACGTGGATGATTCGTTTTTTAATTATTTCAACAATTTGCAAGCATCAGTCTATATCTTGGTACACCTCTGCATTTTTCTTTAACAATATTCGACAGTGTACCGAAAGGATAATAAATTCGAGAGAGCATTGAGAAATAGAAGAGATGATAGCGATATGAAAATAATTCGGAAGACATTTTATGAATTATATTGCTTTCACGTACGTATACGATTTTTATCAATAATCTATATTACTTTTCGATCATGGAAATATTCGTAAACATACTCTTGGAGCGACTTATTTGCATTTTTGTAGTCTTACAAAATTTTTCTTGATGTAAGTGAAATAAACTCGTGAAGAAACACCCGTCGCTCATTAACGAAGATAGAACTTACCAGCTGCCTTTTTGGCTGCGTACAGGTTTGCTTCCTCCTGCGCTTTACCGATATTTTTCTTATAGCGTATCCTTTTATTTCCAAACCAATTGGACACCTGAGAGTAAACAAAAAAAAGTTAAGCATTTATGTTAATTAATTTGTTGAAGGATTTTCGTGTACATAAACGCCCCATATATTTCTTTTTCAACAAACCATTAAAAAATATTTTTGACTCAAAATCAAAGTACACGATTTAAAAAAAAAAAATTAAGTGTTTTGAATTATTTTAAAAATTAGTGATAAAATGCGATGAGCTGTAAGTTCTATCGTGTATAAATAATGTGTATAAATATAGTGGACAGTACCTGGCTCACAGTAATTCCACATTTTCGTGCGAGCTCCTCTTTGGCTTCCTCACTCGGATAGGGATTACTGAGGTGTGAATAAAAATATTCATTCAGAATTTCAGACGCTTGTTTGCTGAAATTTCTTCTTTTACGTCTGCAACAAGAATTAATTCGTATTGTATAAATTTATATCGAATAGTTTTCCAGTTTCGATAAAATAAATAAATGACGCGATTATTAAATTTTGCTGTGATTAAATAAAATGTATTTTTGTTTATTATTATCGTGCATACGGACCTGGCATCCAAGAATCGACTCCTCAGAATCATCACGGCTTCGCAGGTGGACTGCTTGAGCTGCATCTGGATGCTGGAGAATTTCTTATGAATAATTTGGACCATTCTTTCGATTTCTTTTGGTGTGATTGGCCTGGTGCGACTTTGCTCTCTCAACAGGTTCATTACGTGAGTAGTAAATTCGTTACAAGCCTGAAACAGAGAAAAACAGAGTGTTCCGTTTAATTTTTTGGATCGATCTTAAAAGAAACGTACAGTTGAAACGCTCATAGTCGAGGCATAATTAATTAAAAATACATAAAATTTGTTTCGGAAGAAATTTGAGTACATTGGAAATTTGTCGGGATGATGAAAGGAAGAGGATTGAGACGGGCAGAACACGAAGTAAATTACTATGATCAGAGCGTGAGAGGAAAAGTCGAGCGACGAAGCGAGGGAAGAAGTGAGAGACGAAGGACGCGTACGTATAATGCATTATTCCTGGTGGCTGCTCGGTTTAAGGGAAAAAGGACTTTGGCTCGATATCAGTATTCGAGACGAGCATGCTACCTCCCGAAAGGGAGAGAACCCGAGAGAGTGTGAGACGCGGGGTGAGTAGAGCAGGAGGAGTGGCTTTTCCTGAGGAAAGAAGCCGGGGAAAAGACCGCGGGAGGATATCGGGATACGAGAAGAGGCGGTGGAGAAAGGGGATCGAACAGGGTGGCTTGCAATTTCGAAATGGATTCCACTCCGCCGACGATCCGCCCTGCCTCTCTCCCTTCGTTCTCTCTTCCCTCAATCCACCTTGTGGCTTCTCTTCGTTCTCTTCCTCCTCGTTCCTTTCTTCGCACGAGACTTGTGGAATAGATCAACCCGTTCTCGTCGACTATTGCAGAAGAGGGGAAGAGAAAAGAAGAAACGTTGCTGAATTAGATGGAAAAGCAGAGAGCCGCATTCTTTTGAACTAATTTTCTTTAATCTCTGAAAAATTTCTTCAAATTTTGAAGTCAACGACACTGAATAGTGACTACTCGATGAAGAATGCAATTAACAATACTAATTCTCGCGTTATTTCAGAATGTATTCGGAGATACTCTGTTTATTTGCACATATTTGGAGCAACCTGGCTTCCTTCTGCCACTTTCGATTCGGAGCAACATGACGTCGGCTTGGCATAAACTCGAGATACCGAGTTATAAAATAGTCAGATGTATCTATGCTACTTTCTCCGATAAATCAGCCACAAGCATAAATTCGATTATGCAAGTATTAAGGATTCTCCGGGTTGTTTCTCTAACCGCGAAGAGAGCACGCGCGCAACCGCGCGTCGATATATTTAGCAATGCACACGACGCTGGAATTTCCATAACGTTGGCGAAGCCAGGCTGCTACTTTTGCTCGTCTCTATACTCTTGCGATACGTATACGCGATCGTATTAATAGAGCGAGTCGTAATAAAATTAGAACGTCGTGAGAAAATTCGCCTTGTCGAAAGGCAAAGTATCACCGAACGCTGAGCATTAAACATTTTAAGACACCGTATCTTCTATTTATTTCTTATAACAATAACTAATAAAAAAAAATAAAGATATCTAATTTATTCCTTTAACAAAAAAAAAAATTAGAAACATAATGATTAAATGCTATACACTTAAATAATTCCAAGATTTCGTTTCGCTTAGCCGCAAATTTATTATAGTTGATAAAGTGGCGATTTTTTTCATTATTATGACAATAATTTGAAAAACATAAAATATTTCCTTCTTACAATTATACTTAATAGGATTTACGGTGGATCGTACTAGTCGCATGGGTATAGTTGTATAGCTACTACGGCAGTAAAACAAAATATTTACGCGCGCGTAAAAACCGTCTTTCCTTGCCAAACGCTAGAAGATGCATTCCACATGCTTTTTTTCCAAGATACAATATAAGATAGCACGTGGTGCACGCGCGGTCGGAATCAGAGTTGGAAATCGGGTAAAATAAAGGCGAGCATGTACCGACAAAATTCATGGTAGAGACGATGTTAGCTGGCGGTGATCACGCGATCTCGTAAAATCCGATGCGGTTCTATTCTCGTGCTTGTCACGTCATGTTGCATAGCCAGGCAGACATTCACCCTAATGCAGCGAGTCGACCGAATTTGAATAGTAAATTTTGCTTATGGCCGAACTTTCCGTCCTGACAACGTTGCCTGCTAACTAAGCCAATAACTAAACTTTTCAGATGCGACGAAATATTTAAACCGTGTGCTTGTAGTAAATTTTCTCTATCTAGATGAAGTTAGCTCCCTTTTTTTATAAATATTTTTTTTTTAAATATTAGAAATTTTTCTGACAATTTTGTTCCTTAAAAAGCATTTAATGAAAGACCATCACTTGCTGTAACTTTTAATGTTCCAAACGTTTGGTAAATTTTACCAAATTACAATTTTATTAAAGTGCATTCCAAATTAAACAAATTATATATATATATATAAAAAGAGAAATGAGATTCTTTGCCGGAAAATACGGAGAGGGAAGATTTAAAACTCGTTAATGATCACGTTATCGGTGCCCTCTCATCCCCCGTAAGTTGCATCACAAGTGCATGCAAACGCATATGTTTCCAGTGCGCTCAACATGCATATTGTTGCGGCTGCAAAGAGCTGTGTATGCATTACAGGGGCGGATCCAGGGTGTTTCTAAGAGAATGACTGTCAAATTAGCATTTATAACTTGCGGTAAACGGGAGCAATGTATATACAGTACATACGAATTGCTGGTTTTTAAGAATATTATTATTTTTATGTCTCACATCAACATTGCGTTGGTCATATAGTATTGTAAATTAAGCAACGACAGCTCGCAAGCGTTCTTATTGACTTTAGGCCGTGCAAAGATAATTCTACACTTCCAACTTAAGATATAATATTTCCGATAAATTATGAAATTCAAATAATTTTGCACTAAAGTATAGCGCGTCTTTTTAATCCGACCCTGATGAATGCGCTGTTGAACCTCGGGGCTGTGCGTGTTTACCGCGGGGAAACATCAAGCCCGCTGACACACGGTGAAATATGGGGTCGAAGCGGGTGTGGCAATTAAAGCACACGGCCCACACACTGCGCGCGTGTACACACACATACAATACACCGACGCGCGTAGATCCGCAGGGAGTAAGTGTATGCGAAAGGGAAAAACTGTTGGCGAAAACGTGAGCGGTGTTAAGAAGAATTATGCATGTAAGACTAATGAGTGGGTCCTATTTATAGAAAAAATTACCGATTACACGCGACGTCATACGAAGGTAAGGCTTTTTACGACAGCAATGTACTTGTATCCTTCAAACGGAATAATCAGTAATTTATCTCTGTGAAAAAAAAGATCAGGATATGAGAAGGATTGGTGATGAGTGCGCGTAACTTTATATCGCGACGGACCGTTCGCGTCGTCTCTGCATCATAGCGAATTATATCTCGAGAACTGATGCGATAGAAGATCATATTTAAATATCTGAAAAATTCCAAACATCAACTTTTTTCAAACATTTGCATTCAAAATTTCAACTATTGAACTCTACTTTTTTTATTTCGCTGAATGCGGTGTTCCATTTAAAAAATCATCGAATTGCGGCGAACCAAATCATGATAAGAGTTGCGATTTAAAAAGAAAGGGACGAAAAGGAGAGAGGTATTCTTAATGAAACGCTTCGCGATAACATCACCGAATTTCCGCAGCGGCGAACACGGTAATAGCTTGCGCAGTGATTTGCGTCGTTTTGAAAGAACCAGTATCACGCGACATACAGCAGGGACCGGCCTGTCCGGCACGCAAGATTTTACTTAACGCAGGCGGTTCGGTTCATTAGCACGCGAATCGCTGTGCTAGAAACAGCTACGGTGGTCATTTCTGCCGAGTACGCATAATTTGTTTTTTCTTATCAGTTCCTGTTTCGCACGATCACAAAATGCTCGCCAGTCGAAGATTACAAATTAGCCCAAGTTAAGCACAGTGTCCAAAAAAATATCTTTTTTCTATCATAATTAATATTCATTAATAAAATGTAAACTGTAGAAAAATGATTAAATTTTTAATAAAAAATACATAGAAACCGTTTAAAGTTGAAACTAGCATTTCAACAGCATTGTTTATAAAATCATTATGAAAAAAATAATCCGCAGATTGTGAAATTATTACGCAAAATTATTATCAACGTTTTATCACATTCATATGATCTCGATTCTTATTCACGTTACAGCGAAAATCCGCTTGTTCTCGCTCCTCCAACTGTCGCATACTATAAATGTACCTTAATGAGACCGCGAGATTGTCGGTGGACGATAAATTCTCGTCGACGTTGTTGTATTTCACGAGCGGAGAGATTATCGATGGTAGTATCGAGCCGGCTGATAGTGCGCCACGAGATGACCGAAATTTGTCACCCGCCGGATCTCAACGATAACCGCGAGGCTGGCGCGTTAAATTTTTCATTTTGCCGAGAGTTTTCTAAGCGGGGATGAGTAACAGCACTCGTTTATTTTACCATTCTTCTTTTTTGTCCTTTTTCTTTCCCCCCTACTTTTTTCCCGTTCGCAAAGTTGAACGACGATGAAACGACCGATGTAATTCTGCCACCCGAATTCAATATTCGATACTGCGCCGATAATGGCGCGGCCCCGTTCGCTCGCGGCGAATAATATTCATAAGCGGGATTTGCATAAAGCGAGCGTGCTCGCTCTCTCCTCGGAATGAATAATTTTCGTGGGAGGAGGGGATTTTGCAACGTCGCGCGCGCAAACGTAAAAATGTTTGACTGCGGCGCCGCACGCTGTGAAAATCAATACGAGAGTTAAACTTAACCCGTTTGGCTTAATAGATCGATCGGCCCGGCTTCATATTTGTCGCATATTTATGAATTGATCAAGATAAAATTCGCAAAGACAGCATGTTCGTCGTGCGAAAAAATTTAGAAACAAAAGTGCAAGATGCACTGTAATAAATTTGGATAAATTTCAAGCCATTGTGACGTATATATGTACACTCACCCGAAAAAAAAGCGGTACACTGAAAATGTGGGAAAAATTCATCAAATTTCAACTGACGATAACTTCGTAAATAATAAAGATAGAAAGTTCTATAAAATATGGAAATGAAGCTAAAAATCTCTACTTTAAGAATCAATTTATTTCAATGTTGCAAAATAAATTTATTGAAAATGGCGGATGACAAAGCGCGAGCATGCAAAATTGAAAAATAATGGTTCGAGTTTGCGACGGTGCACGGTATAAACAAAAAATTGTAGCTTATTGGGATCAAAAGCGTACGAAAGTACAGAGTCTCCTCTTTAAAATGCTTTTTTATGCATCTCGATACGATGATTTTTCGCCGAGAGATTCGCATTTGAAGAAAAAGGCAGATTCTTACTTCAAATGCGAATCTCTCTGCGAAAAATCATCGTATCAAGATGCATAAAAAAGCATTTTAAAGAGGAGACTCTGTACTTTCGTACGTCTTTTGATCCCAATAAGCTACTAATTTTTGTTTATACCGTGCACCGTCGCAAACTCGAACCATTATTTTTCAATTTCGCATGCTTTTGCTTTGTCATCCGCCATTTTGGAGAAATTGTTGCACATTATTGCGTTATGTAATTTTCGAACACTAGACATCCAAACTTTAAATGGTTTTAAAAATCCTGCTAGCTGTATTACGTGCCGAGATATTCAATTTTGAACCAGACCGAATTGCAAGAATAAGAATTCCGTGGTCATCAGCTCCGCGGTATTTAAACTCCAAACTCTTCTTACGGTTGTAAGTGTCAATTCGTGCTTTAGCGTTACC